AAAGAGTTATAACCCAGAAATGACATTCCTTGACTTTAACAGATACCATATGAATTGAGAGGTCAAATACTGCAATGAACTATATTTGAGATTGCAACTAAGAAATATTTTGCCCTGAAGTAATTGGCATCCATAAAATCTGGAAAAAATAAGAGGAGTAAGTGTTAAGTCTGCAAGTAATAGATCGTCAAAGAAGTTTATAGCACAGCTTTTACTTTCTAAATATGTTGACCAAAAAGTAACAGACGTCCGCAGGACAGAGTTAAGATCTTGAAGGTCCTTAATTATTTTAATATTATGCTGTATTTAGTTGCTTAATTTATATGATGACACAAAGATATTTTAAAGAAATTGGGGTTTTATATTGAAAAAGCATGTTGTTATTTAAGAAGACAGAAATCTTTGGGAAACGTCCGATACTCAAATGAACCTGCTCAAGAATTCCTTTCAATGACACAGAACCCAACCTCTCCATGTTTGCCTGTCCTGTGAGACTCTCACCCATGACCTCCCAAAAGTTTGATAAAGAGGATCCAGCCAATGTGTTAGAAACCTCCCTTGATTTCTCGTAACCTGTACAGGGTACCAGCAGAGCACTCTAACTGTCCACTTTTCCTCTTTTACCTTCACCACACGAGCAACTCATTTTCTCTTTCTGTCATATAATTTTTTGATGACAGCCTTTGCTTTTCTTCTTCCCCAGAGTTCCTCATTAATACTATGTTTGCTCAAGCCCACCATTCACCTTTGCATTTCTCATTGTGTGATGCCCATTTTTAGTTCTTTGGAGGCAGTGGGGTTCCTGGTCCCACTGCCATACTGCCACCATTCGTCAACATAGCAATATTCAGGAACAGTCTCAAAATTACTGTGTCGGTTAGGGGGTATAATCTGGTACATGCAAAATTAGCAGAAAGATAAATTATTTTGCTTAAATGTTTTACATTGTTACTTTAATTCATCTGAGTTTGAGTGGTAGAATTGTAAAATTGCCTCTAGCTGCAATTTTTCCTTCTCCTAGAATACGGCTAAATTTCTTTTATTCATCGTTCTGTCCCTGACACGGCATTTTACAGTATTCTGGTCATTTTCTGCTTTTTTTCCCCTTCTTTTCTAAAGCCGCTCTGAATCCTGGACTCTTCCTTGCTTTTTCTGGCCATCAGTCAGCATAACTAATGGATTGGGCGCTAAACTAAAAGTAAAACATTGTGTTTTGCTGACTGAGTGAAGTTGGTCAAACCACTAAGCCTTTCACGCTTCCACTTCCCCATCTGCCAAATGCTGTATGGTTGTGAGTCTTGGCACAAGCCAATCCCCCAAGAATTCGAGTTGCGGCTGAATCCCAAAGGTCAGTGGAGAGGCTTATGGTAGGCATATGCTGGCTACAACCTATTTCAAATGATGACATGCTTGCAAGAAATAGTGTAAAGTATATCATCAAAGAAATGTATGATTGGGAAAGGACCGGCCATATAACAAGGATGAGGGATAACAGATGACCAAATGCTCCACTGGTATCCACCAGAATGCAAAAGGCCTCTATCATGTTGGATCATCTAGGAGGCAGTCTCTAGCATGTTGGGTAGGTCCTCTGCAGAACATTTATGGCAGACAATGGAAGAGAGTTGCACAGGATGAGACGGCATGGGCGGGGGGGGGGTGCAGTTTTTACTACTGGAGGGACTGCCTGTATCAAGGAGGTCACAGATTGATTGAAGTATATGAGAAGGAGAAAAACTTCTCCCTCTTTTTTCCTGACTCATAGGGATGTTGCAAGGGGAAATCAAATCATCTAAGTAAAATGAATTAAGATTCCTAGGAGGAAAAGTTGCCTGCGTGTGAGAACCACTAATAGATAGTACTTTACCGAGGTGACATTAGTACAAGACATTGTCATCTCTTATTCCAGTGTTTCCTACGACAGAATTTTGGATTTGAACATAAGAAAACTTCTTTCATATCCAAAGGCATTAGAGTGGGTTACCATGGGAATTCTTTTTCCTTGGAGATTTTAAAGAGCAGAATAAACTTTTATCTGTCTGGGTGTGTTTCATCTGGGCATGCTTGAAGAAATAGATGTATACTCCAAGGTCTTTCACAGACTTCTATTTCTGTCATTTTCCTCTTCAAAGTTCTGCCCATATTTGAGTCTCCTGCCTCAAATAATTAACATAGTAATCTCATACTCCTTTTAGCTGCCTTTCTCCTTCTAGCTTCAACTGACTTACATTTGAAAGTAGCATCCTGATTGTTTTCCTGCTGCCTACTTCCTTTTGCTTTCAAATGAGCCTCATACACCATTTGTGACAAGAGCCTTTTCAAAGTTGCCTTTTTTGGGGGAGGGGCTTATGCATGGTACTGCTGGCTCTAACGTTTTAGTATTGCTTCCTTTGAGTTCCGTAGTTTGATTGTCCTCATTCTCTAGGGGAGTTCTGTACAAAGTAGTTTTGCAACAAGGTTGAATCATGTCATATTCAAGGGTCTGATTCTTTGCTAATAGTGCCCCAATGTACTCATTTAGTTAGTGAATATAAGTTACCTAACCTTGTGTGTGTATATGTGTGTGTACATATACAAATATATATTAAAATGCACATTACACAAAAATATATTAATGTCTAACATGATTTTAATATGCAAATTATCAAACTATTTTATCTCTAGAAAAAAAATCCCAATAACATAGATTGGAATTTGTATTTAAATACAAAGCCAACAATGGGTCTTTGAGGACCATGCTGGCATTCTTTTCACACTATCCTGTAGGTGATAACTATTCTCTTTCTGCTTATCTTTGGGCCATATATGCAAAATAATCACTACATATACTTTAAAAGAAACATCACATTCTATTAGGCTTCTCCCCTATTTCCACACCACAAAGTTTTCTACACTAAAAAAACCTCTTAGTAAAAAGCACCATGTTTAAGGAATGCTCTTTTAAGATGCATTCCCTGAGATGAAGAATTTTTTAAAGTTCTTTTTGCTGCTGTTGTTACCTGTCCCTTGAACAAATTTACCATGCATTTATGTGAAAAATAAAGACCAAAAAAGAAGGAACTTGGAATACCCCAAAGGTTTCCCTGGGAGTTAAAGATGGACAATTGCAGGCAATATAACTCTACTCTCGAATGAGTTATCCTTGGACCAGAACAGACCCTATACACAAAATGATCACTTTGGGACATATTGCAGAATTTAACACAAGTCATTTTACCTCTTGGCTTCAGTTGCTTCATTTATAAAATGAAGGATTCAGACTACATGACATCTAAAATCCCTCTTAGCTCTAAAATTCTATGATTCTGTGTCAGAATTTCTGGAATTCTTACTAGAGACTTGATTTCTATCTTGATAGAATATACAGAGGAAAAACATATATATATATATATATATATATATGTATATATATAATATGTATATATATATATATATATATATGGACCTGAAGAAAAAATGTACTTAAATGCAAAAAAGCATATATATACATATTTATGGAAAAGCATATATGTGTGTGTGTGTGTGTGTGTGTGTGTGTGTGTGTGTGTGTGTGTATATATATATATATATATATATATATATATGTATATGTACTTGAAGAAAAAAATTGTGTTTCTTCCTTCTTTCCTATTCACCACCTCCTAGGCAGATGAGATTTTTTTAGAAGGAAGAAAATAATGGGGGAAGAAATATAACTGAGTGGAGATGTGGACATGGGGTAGGAGTAGTAGTTTTTCCTGGGCCATAGGACATGCTGAAATGGAATTATTTTTATACTTGCATGATGTAGAAACACCCCACAGCAAAAGGTACCTTTTAACTCTTTGTTGATTCAAAGATTGTTAACTAACAGAAAAGGCATGTGATATGTGTATCTTAGGATGCGTCATGATACTCCGTGAAGCTATTATTCCTTGTAGGGTTTTGTGCATTTTGAGTTAGTGTAGGCTGTGCTTTGATTTGAAGATGAGATTTTTGAACAGTCTTTTTGCAAGAGTAGATTTCAGTCATAGAGAAGATGTGATTCTGCTTTTCCTGTTTACTGATACAGACATATTTTTTTCATTCTTTTTCCTGCCCTTTCATTGTCCTTGCAATATCTCTGCCATTTATGCTTCTAAATTAGACACCCTCAAGGACAGGATTCTTTGTTTTGGTTTTTTGTGGCATTAAGCCTAAAGCAACAAACATACCTACAGTATTATGTAGATATATAAAAAATAAATAAATGATCCCTAGTGCTCCAAAGATAATCTTATTTGCATTAAGTAGGTTCTTCTCAAGTTACAAAGAACAAATAATACTGTGTTATCCTTTTCCTTGTTTCTTTGACATCTCAACATGGTTTTATTTTCCCAATGTATTTGAATTTTGGCTCACAGGATGATTAGGTCATAAATGTAACATTTTAAAACTGCTATGTAGATTCATTTTTTCCCTAATTTAATATTTGAGAAATCTTCAGTAGTTCAAAAGATCTGGGATATTCCAGTGGTTGTGGGCATATTTCTTCCATGGCCAAAGAATGCAACTCTTCAATAGCTTAGTCTTTGACAGTCATGAAGACTTTGCTATAGACAAGAAGTCATTGCCTGGTGTTCTGTGATAAGCTTCTCTGAGATTGACAAGGTCAGTCATTCATTAGGAGACAGATACACAAGTCACCAAGCCATTGCGAATTTATAGTGTGTGGCATAGCTTGCTCCTTCTGTTGAAATAGCTTTTGGTAGCTTGGGGTTACCTGTATATCATGATGAGGCATTGCTGGGTGACTCTAATGGAGGATGCAAGAAATCAGGACTTACTATATCAGCGAGAGAATATATGGTCCAACTCTCAACATCACAGTTACATGAACTTGGTTGTTTTCTTTGCAAGAATAAAATATTTAGAATCAGACTCATTTGAAACTATTTTAACTTAACTAGTATCAATTTAAAAAGCTATGTTCATATTTTTCCTCAAGCCATTTAGGATTCTTTCCAATTTGAAGAAAATGTCTTGGCATAGAAGTTGACGAAAGTGACATATAGAAAGGGGTAGATTACTTGTGTGTCACTCAGTTGTCCAGCCTGCCTGGTGAAAAAAAAAACAACTAATGAACAAACAAAAAAGAAACAAGACAAAAAACCCTGTCTTTGGAACAGGCAGGGAATACTTGGGAATCTTGCCCAAACAGATAAGTGAGACCACTTTACTCTGTGTCAGTGTCTCCAGGGCAGTGGACCAATTACCTAGCATGACTTTGTGATGAACCCATTGCTAACACACACGTTATAGTCAGAGGTAAGGAATAGTGCTCCAAAAAATTCCTGTTTCGGTTCTGCAATGTTCATGTCCTTTGCCATTGCAAACCAAGTATCAGAGTAGGGTTGATTTCCACCCCCCCCCAAGGTCTGTGAATTTATCAATGTAATATAAAACAGATGTTTCCTTTACCCAGTCCTGATCAAAGTGGACAGTTCATGAAAACTGGGTCCAAAAGAAACTCATCATCTGGTGGTGCATCTTGGAATTTACAGAGTTGGGTTGTCAAGAACAGGCTTGCTAGGAACGTTGAGGACCTAGGGTTACCTCCATGCTGCTATGAAGCATCAAAGTAGAATTTTAGGTTTTTTTTTTCTTTTTGAGACTGAGTCTTCCTATTTCATCTAGGCTGAAAGTATAGTGGCCACTCATAGGCCCCATTCCACTGCCAGTTAGCACAGAACTTTTGATCTGCTCTGTTTGCCACCTTCCTTAGGCAGCCTTAGGAAGCCTTCTCCAGCTTCCAGAACCCTCTCACATTGGGACCAGATTTAGTGCAAATATCTGAGCAACTTTAGCTCCACTGTAGCTAAGAACTCTTGAGTTCAAACAATTTACCAGACTTGGCTTCTTTAATAGTAGATGGCATTTGCCATCCCATCTGGCTGGAGCATTTACATTTGAGGATTCTATTATGATTCTTTTCAATCAACAGACATTATTAAGCATTTACTATGTTCCAGACACTGTGCTAAGCACTGGGGATACAAAAACAAGCAAAAGACAGTCTTTGCCCTCCAAGAGCTTAAAATCTAAGGGGGAGGAGATATGCAAACACATATATATGCTTATATATGCATATAAGCAAAAATTTATGTGTGTGTGTATGTATGTTTGTGATAAATAGGAAATAGTTGAGAGGGAAAGCACTGGGAGTAAGCAGTAGGGAAAGGCTTCTTGTAGAAGTTGGAATATTAGTTGGGACTTGAAGCCAGGGAGGTCAGTTGGCAGAATTGAGGAGAGAAATCATTCTGGGAATGGGGGACAGCCAGAGAGAATGCCAAGAGGCAAGAAATGGAATGTCTTGTTTATGGAACAACAGGGTGACCAGTATAACTGGATCAAGGCATATGTGTTGAAGAACAAGGTGTACAATGACTGGAAAGATAGGCAGGGCCTAGGTTATGAAGGGCTTTGAATGCCAAACATAGGATTTTTCTTGGTTTCTAGTACTGTCAAAAGTAGTAGTTATTGAACTCCCAAGATTCAGAATTCCCATAGCTTTTATGGATGACTTCTCATTGAAAGAAGAGAGAGATCACAAGACAGTAGAATTGGTGGTCATAAGGCGGAAATTTATGAGGAATCTAAGAATCATTTTTCATCATCCTTAGGGGAAGCATGTATTTTCTTGTAGGGGTTACAAATGCCAGATGATTTAATAATCATAATACCTCTAATTTATACCACACCCATTGCCAAGGAGTTCAAAGTACTTTATAGATTTTGTTTTGATCCTCAGAAGCAGGAAGGAAGCAGATTCTGTGCCACACACATGCACACCATCTTTTTGCTTGGCCTCCCCTTTTTTTGATGAACCACTTGGCTTCTGTGCCTACTTTGCATGTGGTTGCCCCCCAAACCAGAGTGAGTTGATGCTGGAGCAGCTTCAAATAGCAATTTCTTTAAGCTCTTTGCAATAGGTTGCTCAGAAAGCCTCTGATATCTATGTAAGGTGGCAAAATACCCCAAATATTCATTTTTGTCTTCTGCTTACTCCTAACTTAGTGCCTATTTTTGGATTCCAACTCCAACACTTTCAATTAGCTGCGTGGCTTTGGGCAAGTCTGACTTTGTAAGTCTGACTTTTTGTGGTCCATCTGTAAAGTGGGAACAATAATACATAAACTGTGTACCTCACAGGATTATTGTGAAGAAAGCCCTTTATAAAACTTAAAATAGTCTATACATTGATTTGTTATCTAGAGATAGATGGTTCAGTGGATAGAGCATTGGGCTTGGAGTCAAGAAGACCTGAGTTCAAATCTGCCTCAGACACTTACTAGCTATGTGACCTGGGCAAGTCACTTAACCTCTCTCTGCCTCGATTTCCTCAACTGGACAGAATGGGCAGATGAGAACAGTTTGTTTCAATGTCCATGAAGGTGGCCGAAGCAGGCTCTGTTAGAGTTTGGTCAGACATCAAATATGCCAAGGTCATCCACTGCATCCCAAGCTATTACGTCATCCTGACTTTCGTCTCGCCACTGGACATCAGTGACTCTGGAAGAGAGAGTGAGGCTGGCAGCTTTATGCAACTCTGCCTCACTTAAACCCAATTCACAGGCGAGTCAAGACATCACCCTGTGATACCATTGGTCCTCTTTGAAAACGAAGGACGAACAACCTTAGCTATAAAATGGGCAAAGGAAAAGCACCTACCTCCTTTCGTGAGGATCAAGTGAGATAATATTTGCAAAGTGCTTAGCACGCTACCTGGCACGTAGTAGGCACTTAATTAATGTTTGTTCCCTTTCTGCCCCTCATCTCGCTATAAAATTCAGTTCCACAAAATGTGTCATGCAAGGGGCATGTTAGGTCCTTTGCTAGCCAACTTAAATAAATCCTTTATAAAATCATAGGATCTTAGATTTGAACTGAAAGAGCCCCCCGTTTTGTAGATGACGCACAGGCTCATGGACAGTCACACAACTTGGAACTGACGTGGGCTTCAAACCTGAATCTCTTTGCCCCCAGGGCTCTATGTACTGTTCCACCCTTTACCTTTTTAAATTATGAAATGCTTCCTGAAAAACCAGGTATTCTGAGGTGAAAATTGTATCTTCTTGAAGTAGAAAGGGAGAGAATATTTGGAAAGAAAAAGGAGTAAAGGGAATAATGTTTGCAAACCCAACAGTGAGATTCTTTGTGTTTTTAAGAATAGGAGACACACTTTATTGGCATGTGCAAGTAATTACTATTTGAAAAATAACATAAAAATATCAAATTGTTGCTGTTTAAATAGAAAAAATACAATTTATCTTGAAATAAATGGTTGAAACCTGACAAGGAAAGGAAAAGTCGATTTTGATTCAACATAAGGAACAACTTCACGGCATAATACTAATGCTTTAGAATTATTCAAAATAGTGCTGCCTGACTACTGAAAACACTACTTTCCCTGATCATCAATGTTGCCTAATCTCTTTAAAGAGATGAAAAATTCACTGCTATCAAGATGCAACTTATTACTATCCACTATTAGACTGTGAGCTTTTTAAAGGCAGAGACTGTTTTTGCCTTACAGTGCCTGGCACATAATAGGCATTTAATAATTGCTTGACTCAAACCAGGGAAGAGTGGATATTAAAAGCTCAGAATTCTTTTCTGAATCAGGAGCCCTGAAACACAAACTTGTTCTGTTTTATAAATTGACAGGGAAACTTTCATACTAGAGGGTCAATTGCACTATATACCTTATTTTTTTTAAGACAAATTTTGAAAAAATCACATTTTCCTTCGACAGTGTCTATCACCTCCTTTTCCCCAACCCCCAAATCTCATCATTCCAAAGAACATTAGAATTCTTTGTCCCTTGACATTTTGTATACTTGTTTATGCAAGTTGAAACTCAAGATGAAAACATTGGGTTAAGAGCAAGAGAGAGAGAGAGAGAGAGAGAGAGAGAGAGAGAGAGAGAGAGAGAGAGAGAGAGAGAGAGAGAGAGAGAGAGAAACAAGAAACCATCTTTTATTCTAGTGAAAAGACACTTTTGCTTAAACAAAGTACATAAAGCCCAGGGTCATGCAATCTTTGCAGTTGGAAGGGATCTCCAGAAGTCATCTAGTCTAACTCCTACCAAAATCATGAATCTTCTCTGTAACATCACTGATAGGTGGTAACCAGTCTCTCTTCAAAGCCTTTGAGAGTAGAGAGCTCACTATCACCTGAGTAAACCCATTCCATTTGGGAGCATTGCTAATATTTAGGAAGTTTTCCCTTTGCCTGTTTGGGCTGCTTCCTTGTCTCTTGCTTAGGGATTCAGTCATTCATATCCTCTGCTTTCATGTTTTTATATAGCTTATGTTTGTCTTCTAGACTCGAATATGCCAAGAATTGAATGCATTGAATTTGGAAATGTTGGCTCCTTCTTTCTTTCCTGCCTCTGTATCTTCTTCTCTCTCTCTCCCTTCCCTTTCTTCAATTAGTCAGTAAGCGTTTATTAAGCACTTACTATGTTTGAGGCACTTTGCTAACAGTGGGGGATACAAAGCAAGGGAAAAAAAACAGGCTCACTTCCCTCAAGGAGCTCACATGTTAATGGGAGAGACATATGTAAATAACTAGATAGATATATAAGATATATTTGGTATAAATGGGAGGTAATCTCAAAAGAGAAAGCATTATGACTGTCACCTCGGAAGAAAACATGTTAATTAAGGATGCATTTCATATTTCAAAGAGTTATAAATCCTTTTTTTAAGTTATGTTGGTGGACATTTAATTAAGTGCTTGCTGTTGGCCAGGCATTGTGCTAAGCTACAAAAATAAGAATTTAACAGTTAGCATGGTGAACTGAAGCTACAGGAAGGAGTAAGAAGCAAATCTAAGGATGGAGATGAGGTAAGGTGTGTATTGTTCTGGACCTTGTGCCCAAATCAGTTTATAGATCATATAACAGTCTACAGTTGGTTCAACAAGAATATTATCAGCCTTGAGTAAATCATTTCCATGCCAAGCTTTGAACAAACCTACTTCTGTCAGAAGTGCATGTGATATTTCTAATTATATTTCAAGTTTATCAAGTAAAATATCCTCTGCTTTTAGAAAAAAACTGCTCATTCATTATTTCACTAAGCATTTTTAGGTGCCTACTATGCATGGCATAGCAATAGAATTCATGGACTTTGACCTCTAGGAGCTCATGGGTTCATTGGAAAGGCAAAAATAGTCAAGAAACAAAAAGTTGTTAGTTAGAAGCTAACATAACATCAACTATACCTAAGTGCTGGAAAATGAAAAATAAGAGTGTGATTGGCAAGGGTCTTTACTAGGCAGCAATGTCATCTCCAAGGAATATTATGATTTTGAAGGAAATGTAGTGGATAAGGATTGGTGAAAAAAGGAGATGGAAGGGAATTTCAGGCAACGGGAACAGCAAGAACAAAAACCAGAAGGTTGTATTGCAGTTTATCCAATCTTCAGTTCATCTTTGGCTCCCCCCCAACCCGATTCCTCCTATCTAGTCAGTCACCACATCCTGCATATTCCTCCTCAAGACTGTCTCTTACACTTCTCCTGTTCAGTTTGCCATCTCCCTAGTTGAGATCCTCACCATCACAGTCTAGACTCTTGAAATGACCTTCTACCTGATTTTACCACCAGGCTCTCTCACTTCCATTCTACCTGGCACTTCCAAATTAATCTTTCTAAAATATCAATTTCATCATGTCCTTCCCCCCTCCTACCCCTGTCCTCAACTAAAAGACTTTTAGCAGCTTTCTATCACCTAGGATAAAATCCAAATTCCTCAACCTGGTGCTGAAGCCTCTTTATGGTCTGGAACCATGTTCAGTGAACACCTGTTAAACACATGCTATGACTAAGGCACTATGACAGGCACTGAGGATACAGAGACAAAAATTAAAAAGTCCTTGCTCTCAGAGAGCTTATATTCTAATTATTCAACTCTATCTATTATTATTTCCCTATATCCAGCCCAGTCAGCCTCCTTATTGACCCTTAAATAAAATACTATCTTCTTTATTCCAAACTATTAATCATGATGCTAGAATTCCCTTTCCCCTCCTCTTTGCCTATCTAAATCCTTCGCCTGTTAATCACCTGCCAATTGTTCAGAATTCAGCTCATGTCTTTTTCCTCCATAGGTCCTTCCCTGACTTCTCTCTTGTTCCTCTGAATTCCTTTAAAGCTCTCATATTGAGACTTAATCATTTTGTGTATGTGTATCTTGCCCCTCCACTCCCAACTCTAATTTTAAGTTATAGAAGACTTGGAAAACATCACACATTTCTTTTGCTTGTTGCTTGGGATATCCAGCATTTAGTTAATAGATAGTAAATATAAGCAGCTAGGTGGCACAGTGGAGAAAGTGCTGGGCCTGAAGTCAGGAAGACTCATCTTCCTGAGTTCAGATCTGGCCTCAAACACTTACTAGCTGTGTGATCCTGGACAAATCACTTAACCCTGCTTGCCTCAGTTTCTTCATCTATAAAATGAGCTAGAGAAGGAAATGGCAAACCACTCCAGTGGTTTTTTGCCAAGAAAACCCCAAAAGGGGTCATGGAAAGTTAGGCATGACTGAAACAACTGAACAACAGTAAAACATAATAAGTAAGAAACTAGCTTGCCTGGAATGGGAAGGCTGTGATAAAAACTGAATTGAAAGCTACTAATGGGGATAGAAAGGATATGTGGGAAGAGTGGAATAAAGCAATAGAGGGCTCTGAATGCCAAGCTGAGAACCTTAACTTTGATTTAATATATCATGAGGAACCGTTACAGGTTCTTAACAATGAAATAACCTAGTATGGATGGGATTTCAAAAAGGTGGCAGCTACATGTGAAGAAAACACTTTGCCTTGAATTGTATGAACTCATTGTTCCTCAGTTTACATCATCTTTTATGTCACTACTTCTATCAGTCTGTGATCTCATACCAATCATGTTCTCTCCAATGGTGCGCATTACAGCCCGTTTACATTTTTCACGTGTGACTGTTGACCAAATCCTCTCATAAGCCCAGTGTGTGAATACCAAAGGAACACAGAGGCTATCTCTTAGTGATCCCTTCATTTTGATACATGGCCAACCCTCTTTTTCCAAACGTACATTGTATGACTTCACTTACGTAGCCTCTTTGTTGGGAATAACATTATATCTTGTTTTCCCAACAACCTTGTACCTCTCTATTGTCCTTTGGCTAACCCCCAACTTTAACTTATTGGAGCTTCTGGTATTCTACAAGTTGGGAATATGCAGCATTGTGGGAAAACTATGGAAGTTAAATGATAGGCCTTTGCTTGAGGGCTAAGCTTTGAGTCATTAAAAGCAGTGAGCAACTATTTCCCAAAGACAGTCCATCTTGTATTTCCCTTTTTCTTCATTACTGGGCCCTCTTCATTGTTTATCTGCAGCTTTGTCCAAGGGGTGTGTGTGTGCGTGCGCGTGCGCTTATACACACATGTTTATGTTGTATATGTATACACACATACATCATATGTGCACATGTGTGTGTAATATACGTCTATATTATGCATATGTATATGCATATATGAATGCAATGTCTTTCTAACTATACATGATAGTCCAAACCTCTTAGGACATTCTTCATCCACTGAGTTTTTCTTTCGTGGATAGTTGGGCCAAATTTTTTAATGAATTATGGTTATATTTAGAAAGCTTTGTAGTATCCCAAGGCTTGATACAACTAACACAGGAGAATCTGGAGGGCCCCTTCGTGTATAAGGAATCCTTTATTTTTTCATTTCAACTCTGTATTAGGGATATATATATATATGTGTGTGTGTGTGTGTGTGTGTGTGTATGTATATATATGTGTATATGTGTATATATGTATGTACATATATATAATATTGTTACATATATTCCACAATATAATAATCAGCAATATGATATAATATATGATATCATATGATATATGATATGATATGATATAATTAATATAATAATCAGCAATTTAATAACACATTTGGAGGATAAATGCCAAATCATTGCTCTAGGATTCTAGGTATAGGGTTGGAAGGAACCTCAGAAGTCATCTAGTTCAGCCCTTCATTTTACAGCTGAGGAAACTGAGGACCAGCAATGTTAAGTGCCTTGAGCAAGGTCAAACAGGTAGTGAGTGTCATAGCTGGGGTGTGAACCCATATCTTCTGACTTCAGGGCCAATGCTGTCTCCCACTGCACTACCATTACCTCTTGAAACACAGGGTCACTCTCTATTGGTATGTGTCTTGAGGGGTCCTGTCTGATTTTTATATGTGGGGGTGGGTGGGTGGAGTGAAGACAACTAGAGGTGAGGAGCCTTCCAAGAGGTGTTTTCCTCTAGTGAATCAAGTGCATTTTTATAGGCAACTAACAAACCAAAGTCCAGTGGAAGCTTCTGTCCTCTGCTTCTTATTTTGCTGTTGCTCAGTTGTGTCTGACACTCCAGTATCTTGGCAAAGAATGGTAAAAAAATTTACCATTTCGTTCTTCAGCTCATTTTACAAATAAAGAGACTGAGGCAAACAGTGTTAAGTGACTTGCCCAGGATCACACAGCTAGTAAGTGTCTGAGGCCAGATTTGGACTCAGGTCTTCCTGACTCCAGGACTGGCACTCTATTCATTGTATCACCTTAGCTGCCCCCTCTGTGCGTGTCAGTCAGTTCTCTAATTGAAATGACATCATCTGCTATTAAAAATATCATTTTCAAAAGCTTCTCACACTGTCATTGGGGATGCCTTCAATGTGGTTTTGGATTATTCTCATAAAGATTTTATAGACATGGGAAAGCATGCATATGAGTCAGTAGTTGTTGCTAATTACCTTCATTTGGGGTAATGACACTAGGCTTCCTTTGGATATTCTCAGTCTGGTCCGGCTCTTTTTTCCCATCATTGCTTTCTTAAGGGCCATTTTTCCTTTCTCTGCTACATCCACGAAGCTTTCCCATGAAACAAAGTGAGCCTGCCATCTCAAAGGCTGTGGCAGAGGAGCCCAAGATCTGACAGTTCTTCCATGCTGGAAAGAGTAAATGTAGAATAGAGGCTATATCTTTTTATGGAGGATGAGAGTACAGAGAAGATCAACAAGGCTTTGCCCATGGCAACTTGTGAAACAAAATACAAAATATTGTCTTTTAACACAGTTTTCATTAAGGAGAGAATTTTGTTTACAAATTTAGTTTCAAGCTTCTGAATACACTCAATTAGAGGCTTTCAGCTAAAGCAGCTTTGCGTGTGCTTAGAGTAATGAGATTGTGGGTAGTGATAGAGATCAAATGATATAAGTTGGTAAGCATTCTGCAAACTTTAAAGTGCTAAACTGTAAATGTTAGCAATTATTATCATTAGAGGGTAATGCAAAGTCGGTATCTTTATTATGCCCAAATCTGTGTTCAAACATATACTGTCCACTTAAATATGAATACTCCCCTACATCTTAGTAAATATTCTAGGTCAAGTAAAATCTATAATTAAATAAATCCATGGTGTAATTTTTCTGGTATGATGCTAAACTGAAATATTATAAGGACTAAGTACCATTAATTAATTAATAAAAAAGTAATTAAAATAAAAATTTACATTAAATTAAAATGTAAAACTTTTAGACACTTCTCAATTTTGTATATTTTGTCTGCTTGATGATAGGTACTGCTTTTCCTTTTGTTATTGAAACAATATGTTAGGGCTGATGCTTACAGACATAATGTGTTTTATGTGTTAATTGACTTAGTAATGACATGTGCATCCCTCTTTCCACAGCTATATGCCAACCCAGCTGCAAGTACGGTGAATGTATAGGGCCGAACAAGTGCAAGTGTCATCCTGGATACTCAGGGAAGACCTGCAATCAAGGTAGGAACAGGGTCTGATGTTCCTAAGTAAAAGCACCCTACACAAAGAAAATGCAATATCCTTTACTGGTTCAGAGGCAGCTCCTTTCCAAAGTTTGATCATTCCTAAATAACATTGAGCAAGCCACATTTGATGTTCCGCAAGAATGGAATAATGATAATAATAATACCACTCATGTATATGGAGCTTTGTAGTTTGCAAAGCGCTTTGTATTTAGTATCTCATTTGATCCTCACAGTGACCCTGTGAGATAGGTGCTGGTATTGTTTCCATTTTACAGATGAAAGGACTGAGAATGAGAAATGTGAGATCACTTGGCCAGGGTCACACAGTAAGTGCTTGAAGCAGAATTCGAATTTTGGTCTTGATCCCAAGCCACTGTACCACTTGAAGAGAAGATGGTAGTCAGAGGACCTGGTTTCAAATCCTGACTCAGTTGCTTTCTACCTGTGGGACCTTGAGCAAGTAAACTTCTCTGGGTCTCAGTTTCCTCATCTGTAAAATGAGCAGTTGGCCTCTGAGATCCTTTTCAGACATAGCTCTGTGATGATAGTCCTATGTTTTTTGACCCAGATCTTAAAACAGAAAAAGTAGCTCTATCCCATTGGTTCTTTCCTAAATTTTTTAATTTTTTATTTAATTTTATTTTCTAAAAATTATTCTTTTCTTAGTTCTTCATTTTTTTTTTAGGCAATTGGGGTTAAGTGACTTGCCCAGGGTCATGGAGCTAGTAAGTGTCAAGTGTTTGATCTGAGGCTGGATTTGAACTCAGGTCCTCCTGACTTCAGGGCTGGTGCTCTATCCACTATGCCACCTAGCTGCCCAAAATTATTCTTTTCTAAAAATGCATTTTAAGTTGGGAAAAGCAATATGGTGGAGTGGAAAGAACCCAATGGGAGGTCCACAAGTTACTCTACCTCTCTGGGTCTCAATTGTCTTAGTTCTAAAACAGGGTTAATAACACCTTGTCTGCCTGCTGATTTCTTTAGAATCCTTCAAATTCTAATATCAATGATTCTGTAATTAAACCTCCTTTTCTCTAAAAGTCAATCCATCCAAAACGTTTGTGTCAAAAACAAAGTGTCTACTATGTGCCAAACACTGTACTAGGTGCTAGGAATATATATATGAAGAATGAAACAATCCCTATTCAAATAGATGAATGGATGGGTGGATGGATGGATGGATAGATAGATAGGTACGCACGCACCTCAAGGATAGATACCTGTAAATAAATTTTATGTGTGTATGTATATGTGTGTATGTATTGATATGGAGAGACAGAGAGAGACAGACAGAGAGAGAGACACACAGAGAGACAGAGATTATATTCAAGTAAATGTTAGGGAGTTTAATATAAGGTAGTTGAAGAGTATAACTTTTTTTCCCCCAAGTTTGACTGGGAAAAGGAGATGTAAATGATGATCCCTTGAAGGTATAATAGGGTCAAGACTAGGGGAGGTCTGGGCATGTTCACATGCATCAAGGATGGAGTCTCTGGATAAAGAGAAGTTGGAAATTAGGAAAAGAGAGAATGGATGAAGGGACAGGTTACTGGAGGAGATGGGAAGGGATAAGATCAAAGGCAGAACTTGTAAGACAGAAAGTCACCTCATTTCTCCCTCTACAGAGAGGGAGGAAGGATGTAGTACGGTACTGATGGCTTGAGAAGGGAGGAAAAAGTTTGGAATAGTCATGGTGGGAACTGTGATAAAGAGACAATCAAAAAAAAAAGCAGATTGATGGGCAGCAGTAAGAACTTAGTTGAGAATTAGAAATAGAATTGCAGTAGGAAGAGATAGAAAAAAATTACATTTAAAATAACTGCAGAAATGGGAAGGGGAAGGAAGGATAGAATTTGTACCTTAAAGCTTAAAAAAAGAACATTAAAAATTGTTTTTATGGGTAACTGGGGAAAAAATAAAATATTATTTTAAAAAAATAGCAGCAGACAATGCAAAAACTTGAGAGTCTACCTGTCGACCCAAATCCAGGAACTATACGAACACAATTACAAAGCACTTTTCACACAAATAAAGACAGATTTAAACAACTGGAGAAATATTAATTATTCATGGATAAGCCAAGTGAAAATGACCATTCTCCCTAAATTAATTGACATATTCAGTGCCAATCAAATTACCCAAAAATTATTTTATAGAGCTAGAAAAAATAATAACAATTTATCTGGAAGAAAAAAAGGTCAAGAATATCAAGGGAATCAATGAAAAAAAATGTGAAGAAAAATGGCCTAGCGCCAGATTTCAAACTATATTACAAAGCAATAATCATGAAAACAAGCTGGTAGTAGCTAAGAAATAGAGTGGTGGATCAGTGAACTAGATTACAGTAGCAAATGACCATAGTAATCTAGTATTTGATAAACCCAAAGACTCATGTTTTGGGGTCAAAAACTCACCATTTGACCAAAATTGCTGGGAAATGGAGAGCATTTTGGCAGAAACTAGGCAAAGACCAACATCTCACACTGTATACCAAGAAAAGGTCAAAATGGGTAAATTACTTAGTCATAAAAGATGATGTCATAAGTAAATTAGGGGAGTATGGAATATCTCACTTGTCAGATCTATGAATAAAGGAAGAGCATGTAATCAAAAAAGAGATAGGATCATAGAAGATAAAGTGGATAATTTTGATTGTATTAATTGAAATATTTTTTAACAAACAAAACTAATACAGCCAAAATTAGAAGGAAGGCAGGAAACTGGGAAAAAAAATTACAGCAAGACTCTCTGATAAAGACCTCATTTTTCAAAAATATTCAGAACTGCGTCAAATTTATATATATAAAAAAAAGTTAAGAGCCATTCCCTAATTGATAAATGGTCAAAGGATATGAACAGGCAGTTTTCAGAAGAAGAAATCAAAGCTATCTATAGTCACATGAAAAAATACTCCAAATTACTATTGATTAGAGAATTGCAAATTAAAACAACTCTGAGGTACCACCTCATATCTATTAGGTTAGCTAAAATGATAGAAAAGGAAAATAACAAATGCAGGAGGAAATGTAGAAAAATAGTAGTGCACTGTTGGTGGAGTTGTGAACTGGTCCAACCATTCATCAGAACAGTTCTAAGCTATGCTCAAATCACTATAAAACAATATGTACACCCTTTGACTTAGAGAGAACAAAGAAAAAGGAAAAGGACTCATATGTACCAAAATATTTATAGCAGCTCTTTTTGTATTGGCAAAGAGTTGGAAATTGAGGGGATGCCCATCAATTGGGGGATGGCTGAACAAGTTATGGCATAGGATTGTGTGTTATAAAAAATGATGGTTTCAGAAAAACTTGGGAAGAACTATATGAATTGATACAGAGCTAAGTGAGCAGAACCAGGAGATCGTTGTACACGGTAACATCAATAATGTAATGATGATCAACTGTGAAAGACTTAGCTATTCTGATCAATACAATGATCCAAGACAATTCTGAAGGACTCAAGATAAAAAAATACTATCTACCTCCAGAGAGAGAACTGATACCTCAGTGCAAATTGAAGTATAATTTTTCACTATCTTTATTTTTCTTGCTTTTTAAAAAACATGGCTAGTGCAGATATTTGTTTTGCATGATTTTACAAGTATAATTGATATATTGTTTGTCTTCTCAATGGGTAGGGAAGGGGCTGCAAGGAGGGAGGTAATTTGGAACTCAAATTTTTAAAAAGTGAATGTTAAAAAATGATAATTTTAATATGTATAAATAATTGGGAAATGTTTAACAAAATAAATAATGTTTCAGTGCACAAAAAATAAGAGAATGGATAACATAAATTCGTATTGTACCCCCTCAGCACAGTCTGTGACTTTCTCTATTTGCACTCAGCAACTTGTGAGAAGATGAATGGTAGGGATAATACCGGGCTGGATTTTGGAAAGGAATGATTGGTAATAGGATGATGGGACATATGATTCAATGGCTGAGGGCAGTAAAAGTTAAACTGATTAATGAAAGAGTCAGGATTTTGTGGTAAGACTCAAGCAACAATGATGACATGAAAAGAAGGATGGAGTTCCTAGAGGTTGAGCTTAGCATAGAGAATGGGCTGGCTATGGCCAAAAGCTGTAGATGAATTTCAGAACTTTGGCTTGTGGGTATGGAACACTGGTGAGTGAGGAATGTTCTCACTGTCATTTTATATGATCAAAATGGAATGAAGAGTTGAAAAGGCTGATGAACTGGTAAGCAGAGATATTTCAGGTGATATCAACTTACAAGTGTGAAGTCTCTAAATATAAGGGTTGAGGTAAAGAGGAAGACTTCAAACCAGGAACTGAAAAAGGAGGGAGAATCACCTGGGAACTGGTAAATAATAGCTGCCAGGATCTGGATGTGGTGTTTGACCTTCATAGAGTCAACCACAAAGGAGGAATGGTAAAACAGTTATATTAGTAGTAGTGATGATGATGATGATAAATGGTAAAGCAGTTATATTAGTAATAGTAATGACATTGATGCTGATAAATGGTAAAACAATTATATTAGTAGTAATGATGATGCTGATAAATGGTAAAACAGCTGTATTATAGTAGTGATGACGATGATGACAATGATAGAAAATATTTATATAACTCTTTAAGCTTTACAGAGCACCTTATATAGAATACCTCATTTGATCCTCATCACAACCCTGTGTGAAATAACAAGAACAGCAATAACAATATCTAACATTTATATGGCACTTTGAAGTTTACATAAAATCCCTATTTTACAGATGACTAACCTGAGTCTTGGGAAACTTCCATGATGTACATGTGGTCATATGCCTAGAAACTTATCAACAAGTCTTGTAAACCCTTTTATTGACTGTAATTGCAAACGGCAAAAGAAAATATCATTGAAAATGTTGTATCTTTGTTGTTATTATATGTTATACTGGTTCTGCTCATTTCACTCGGCATCATTTCATATAAGCCTTCTTGAGTTTCTCTGAAACTGTGCCCTTCATCATTTCTTAAGCATAATAGATAATATATTCATACAGTATAATATTTATTCAGCCCCTAATTAATGGAAAACCTTTAGTTTCCATTTTTTTGTTACCATAAAAAAGTTGCTATAAACATTTTTCTCTGACAGAGACGTTATGGACTAAGCAGAATGAGACACATATTTTTTTAAACATGGCCAATATGAGAATTTGCTTTGCTGGACTCCAAACATAAGGGATTTGGGTGGAGAGAAAGACTTCAAGTTGGGAACTGAGAAAGGAGGAAGAATCACTAGAAACTGATAGAGAGTAGATCTGGATATGGTATTAGAGCTCAATGGAGCCAATCACAAAGGAGCAACAATAAAGCTTGTTATGTAACAAATGATATTATTTTATAACTTACTAATACTCCTTATTTTTGTTACAATAATTTAGATTTTCTTTTTTTCCAGTAGAGGGGGAACATGGGAAGGAGACAAAAGTACTTTTTAACTGAAAAAATTAACTGAAAGGAAGATGTGTCTTTGATAACAAGCGATCTTTGTTTGTTGATAATTCTTGTTCATTGTTACCAAGCCTAATGACCTTTTGCTTTAAAATTTTTGTCTTAAAGTGTTTGCCTTCGGGTAAGAAAGAAACTGTAAGTCAAAAAATTAAATTATAATTAATTTGAAAAAGAAAAGACTGAAGATCTAACATATCTTTGAAATTAAAGCTGCACTGCCTGCCATTTTAGGATGTGATGCCTAGCCATACTCAGTTCTTTATACCTACATTTTCCGTAGCTACATTGCTTGCACATATGTGAGGTAGGCATCTTTCCCTACATACTTAGAAATAGGTTTCACCAGGTTTCCTTTAGCCTTTGGTTACTTGACCTTACATCTTTGGTGTGATGGTATGAATTAATTAATTGAGAGATTTATAAGTACAAGCCGTCACAACTATTCACAACTATCTGCATTCAAAGTCTAAGCCGGCTTTGTGGAAATGCAGCACGGAAAAGGATTAGAAAAATGGGGCAGTGGTCAATAGCTGTACAGATTCCTTTGAAGAAATGCATTCTCCCAGTATCTTTCAATCTGTTTGAGATTGATTTCCAAATTCATTGTTGGGAAAGGGGAGGTGGAGAGGAGGTTCAATATTTTGTAAACTTTAAAGCACTATGTAAATGCTAGCTCTTAATTGGTTTTCCTCTTTTAAACCTGACTTTTTCTGGGATTTGCCAATTTTACCTGGGCAATTTCATTTGAGCCAAGAATTTGACACATTACATATTGGAAGGGTTTTTAAAAAAATTTTGTTTCTTAAAAACCACCCTTATTGGAGGGGTTTTTTTTCATTTTTGTTTCTTAAAAACCACCATCTTGTTTTCTTTGCTCTTCCTTGTTGGCCAATGTTCACAAGTAGTAGTAAGTCAGGCTTTGATTACAGTGGAATCTGTTTTTATATTAAAACCCTAATTTAATACTGTTTTTTTAAAGAGGGGGAGTACACAGTCCAAAGTATTGTGGCTATATACGTCAATACCTTACAAATGTATCCCTGAATGCCAGGGCTGTGCTTCAGAGAAGTGTTCTTAATAAGCCACTTCTGAGATTTCAGGAAGTGAGTTTCAATTTGCTTTGTGATGGCTACTAGGACTTTAAAAAAAACACTTCCAAACTACTTAGACTACCCATTATGCCAGAACCCTGTCTCATGTCTCTTAGCATGAGGAAATCAGTTTACAATGGACTTCTTCATTATGTATGCTCCTGGTTTTCATCAGAGAACTTTAATACACTGGGTTCAAATATCAGACCCCTAAACAGTCCTTATTTGGTACTTTTTGAAGAGTGAGAAGTCAGATGTTGTTTTCACTTGTGAACCAGCATTTTTACAGTAGCAAAACAAAAAAAATAAAGAAAAGAAAAAAATTGTTATAAGCTATAAGAATCAAAGTGAAAAAAATTGAAACTAGTTTTAGAAATAAAAATTCCAACTGACTATAAAACTGACACACCTATGTAAGCATGTCTTAATAATCTCTTTCTTTGTTCTCCTTTGATAAATGTGATAGGAGTGTGCACCAAAGTATGGAGAGAGCCATGGTGGATTTGAGATGGTAGCAGCAATTGAGTTGGGGGAGGGGAGGAGACAGGGTAGAATAGCAAAATGAATGTAGTAAATTGTCTCAATGGATTTGAGGAATAAATTCTAATCTTATGGAAAATGCCTGTGGCAACTTTCTGATTGATAGATTATAGGCTTTTTTTCCCCTAGTGTAATCATCAGGTCATATTCATTGTTATATTCCTAATAGCACCCAGCAGAAATCCTTACAGGTTACCGCCCTCTTCGCTGACATTGCTAATCATCTCCTCCTTCAAACTCTTCTCTCAGATTCCATACATCGCTCTGTCCTGGTTGTCTGCCTGCCACGAAGATCACTCCTCAGTCATCCCTGAGAGGAGGATCTTCCAAGGCTCTGTCCTCAGCTACCTCCTTCTCTTGGCCACTTTTAATGACTCTAACTATTATCTCTATGTGAGTGACTCACGTAAGAG